TTATCTTTTCCCTGGTGAGTTTATTTTTCTGATTATTTGCCTGCTTGATAATTTTGGATCATATTCTGGTCATTTTGAATATTATGAGACTGCTGGTTTCATATAAATCATACATAAAATGTTGATATTTTTGTTGTAGGAGGCAGTCAACCTGGTTGGATTTAGTTAGTTTGCAAGTTCTGACCAGCCTTCAATATTTGTTGTTTCAGAGCCTATGCAGTTCTCTTAAAATCATTCCCTTTGTGCACCACTCACCAGACAGTTTGGGAACTGACAGTGCCTAATTCTTACTTCAGTTCTCAAAGCCTGTGGTTTAGGGTCAGATCCACATGTGCACAGGTGGGGAAGTAGCTCACCTGAACAGGTGAATCTAGAAATTGGTAAGCAACGTTTGGGTTTGCTTCCACAAACTCCTCATCCTCCACCATCTTCTTGGCACTTTTTAGTTCTCAGGGTTCCCTCATCAGTCCCCTGGTCAGAAGTCTGGGGCTTTACCCCACTCCTTCTGTCATTAAACTCTTCCTGTTATTAAGCCTCAATCTGGGTCCAAGCCAAGCAGCGAAAGCAAAGAGGTTTTGCCCACCTCTTAGGGGGAGCACACCTCTTCCCATCAGAAAGGGTCCATCTCCTCCTCACTGGTGTGGCCTCCCATGGCCCCTGTTGTCACCCACACCACAGGATTGCTTAGGGAGGAGCTGAGGTTCAAGGCCTCAGAGATAATACCAAAAAGAGATGTTTACTCGCTCCAAACAGAGCTGCCTCATTCCATTTTCTGCTGCTCTAACAATACTCCAGTCTGGGTAACTGATAAAGAATAGGAATGTATTGGGCTCACCGTCCTGGAGGCTGAGAAATCCAAGGGCCTGGCACCAGTATCTGCCGAGAGCCATCCCACGACAGAAGGCATCCCGTGGCAAGCAAGCGTGCAAGGCAGGAAGACGGCCCGAGTCCCTCCATCACCAGTCCCAGCAGTAACCGCATTCACCCATTCCTGAGGGAGGGGCCCTCCTGACCTCATCACCTCTTAACACTGACAGTGGCAGTTGTTTCCAACACTGGAACACATTTAAACCATAGTGGTAGGATATGCTCGTCCTTCCTCAGAGTGGATTAGAGCCCCAAGGGTGCTCCGTGTCTCTGCCAGGCTCTGCCTCCAGGGCTCAGGCTCAGGACAACAGAGGGATCATCCGGCCAGCCCGTTCATCTTTTCTGTGGTACTTGAAATTCTTATCTTCTTTCCAAGGCTGCCGACTGCTCCTGCCTCTTCGCAGCCCTCGCACAGCTGCTCTGCACCTTCTGCCCAGGTTTTATAAAGACGTTCAGTAGAAGCAACAGGTCTAAAGTGCTTGCTGCATTTTACCTGGAACCAAAGTCCCTCTTTCCTCCCATCTTAGTGTCTCACGTTAGTTTATTCTGGCTGCTTTTGATAACCAGGCAGCATTAGGTCAAATAGCTGTGACTTGTGCCAGAGACACCAGCTCCCGGGGATCCCCCTTCCAGGCCCATGGCTGCTGTGCAGGGACGTCGTGCAGGAGCTGGGGCTCTGCTCTTAACTGTTTTTTCTTGTTCTCTGTTGCTCTCTGTTGGCCGTGGCCCCAGCACAGCTCCTGAGATTCTCCCCAGGCACTCCCAGCAGGTAGCACCTGTGCACGTGGGCCCGAGTGTGCCCCTGCTAGCTGCAGCCTGGCCAAGGAAAAGTGCCGCAACCCAAAGGCCACCCCTTCCCCTGAGGAAGCCACACAGACCTCAACAGGTCACCACCCAGGGAGCCTGCTGGTTGAGGGAAAGAAGACTCCTCCCCTAGAACCTGGAAGCATGGTGGTCTGCCTCCCAGGGAAGAGCCCCTCAGTGCTTGCCTAAGCCCTGACCTCAGCGAGGGCCAGCTACCTGGCCAGCCCTGCTGTTGCCTGTGCTCTAAGCCCAGCTGTGTGCAGTTGAGGCACAGATGTGTTTGTTGAGGTGGCTCTTAGGAGATTTATCACAGAAGAGAGATGGACACCCAGGCTAAGGAAGTGATTAGTCTGAGCTCCCCAGTGGCAGAGCCAGGCTGGTCCCATCTGTGTCCTCCTGCCATGTTCTGGTGTGTGCCGTCTTCCTTATTAGAGCTGGGTTTGGCTGAGTTGGTCCAAGGTCATGCGTCTGCCTTGCTCAGAGCCATGAGCTCCACTCCTGTGTCATGGCATGAAAACACCTTGTAAAAACCCAGTGTTCATGACCAGCATCAGAAAAGGGCATCCAGACCCTTGGCAGAAGATGCACAGTGCAGGCAGAGGGTTTAGAAAACTGTCTCCTCTGAGTGAGGCAGTTATGGTGCATGCATTTAAATAGCCACCCAATCGGAAATGAAAATAGCCACGTCCTTCAGATGCGGGGACTCCAAGACACTGGTCCTCTCCCTTGACCCCAGCCACGAAAGCCCAGCCCAAGGTACCCAGTACCACAGGACAGGCAGGAGGAAGGTGAGTTTGGGAAGGAAACAAGGGAGGTGGAGAGGAGAGAGAGAGGAACATCTAGAATGTGCTGCGTCACAGAGCCCCAAGGCATCCAGCCTGCTCTCTGGGGAGGCCCATGGTGAGAGAGAGAAAGCTGCTGTTTTAATGGCTGCCCATTTGGGCCACTTGAAGTGATTGTGCCAGCTACCGAGGACTGATGTGGTCACTTCAACCTCAAGAACTTCTATTTTCCAGGTGCATTAATGTTTATGAGTGGATTTTAGTAGATTACAGAATGATGCTTCACAGAAAGGGTTGCCCTCTTCAGGAACAGGTAGCGTCCAGCTATGCAATTTTGCACAAGCCAGGGTTAGGGGCACTGTGGTCTTTGAGAGCTGCTTCAACTAATGAGTGCGTTTGTTCGCTGCAGGGTAAACTGAGTTTTCAGATGCGTTTGTAAAATCACGTGCCTGATTGCTACATAGTGCATTGTTTGAGCTATGCTTCCCCACGTTGCCTGGTACAGACCAGTTAAGAAATGGTTTCCCATGAGAAACTGACAAGGAAGCTGAACACGTTTGATAAACTCTGTGCTCATCTATGGACATATAATTGTTTTATTATACGATACTTTTACACTTGGAAAGAAAGGTGCTCCGTAATTTGGCAGCAGTTTGTCAGAGCAGCACTGGAGGCTGGCGCTCAGATGAGCCCTTGGAACCATGCCATTGTTTCTCGGAACTGCTCTGCGCTCCGGCAAGGTTCACACACACCTCCCTCATTTCATTCCTGCAAGTTCAGTGAAGTTCCAGGCCGTTCTCCCAGAAAACCCAGGCAGCATCCTCTCCCTGGGTCAAAGCACGGAAACCAAAGCCACCAACCCTGTGCAGGAAATTGGCCTCCGCTTCTTGTGGTATGGAAGGGCTGCTTTTATTGCTTCTTTTCCAGGACAGCTGTCCCTGAAATCTCTTCTCCTCCAAGTCAGCACCAGGCTCCCTCGCTCTTATTTTCTTTCTTCAGAGTTAGGCATAGCAACAACAGCAACCATAATAATGATTAACAGTTTATTTCAAAACGCTTTCTAAGGAAATGACAATAAACAGAGTGCGTCTGCCCAAGGAAACCCCCCAGCCGTCAGCCAGTAATACGACTGCATGTGCTAATGAACCCAAAGCTGTTAATGTGGTTTCTTCAGTTAAATTGATTCATGAATTTTGAAGAGAACATTATCTAATGAATTTTCTTTGAATAGAAAGCAATTAAAAGGACAAATCAGTCTGATTAACCCCAAAGTCACCCTCCTGCCACAAATGGTGTACAGTTTGAAATTATATCATAAAAAACTAGAGCACATTTGCTATCTTTTTGCCCTCTACTAATCCATGTAAATTAATGAACAACAAAGTTAATTTCTTTGATGACCCTTTTCTGGTTTCACCTGGATTATGCTGATGTTTAATTTGCTTAATGTTATAATAAAGACTAAACAGGTTTTTTTTTCCCAGTGAAGTGATTATCGTTCCCTTCAGTTAAGGCGTGATTTTTATTATTTAACACACATGTAAGGGTGTGTTTCCTTTAAGAACCAAATCGCACTTTGCCAGCTTGGCACCAAGTGTAATTAGTGTTCTTGTGGACACACTCAGAGCATCGTCCCTGCCCGAGGAAGCCTTCCCTTTGTTGCTGCTGTTCAGAAACTCCTGCCCCTGGAGGGCTGGAGCCCCTGTGACAGAGGACGTGGCTCTGTCCAGTGCTCCTGAGCTGCATGTCCCCCTTGGAAAGACAATAGGTACTGATTCAGGCAGCCCTTCTTCGCATGCCCAGGTTTCTCTCCTGCCCACCCCACTCCCAGGTAGCAGTTCTGAAACCTGGAGGCAGACGCAGAGAATGTTCTCCCGCGGTTGCCTCCTCGTTCCTGCAGCAGGATGCCGCACAAATGCAGCTGGATGTGCTTAGTCAATTAAAATGGGAATCGGGTTATTTTAGTATTGCATCCCTATTCATTGAAGGTGCCTGAAGCCAAGGTCACCGCCGGCCCCTGCATACCGTGGCGCTTGGCGCTCCGTGTGGTAGCTGGGGGCAGTCCTGTGCACGGCTGGATGTGGACAGCCAGCATCATATCGCAGCCTGGCCTGTGGCCGCTTTTGCCTTCTTTGTCCCAGCTGAACTTGGAAATTAACCAGCAGTACAAAAGATTTCCAAGTAGGCAGGCAGACAGGGACTTCTGTGCGTATTAATTGAGCCATGCGCTCACTTACACGCCCCCAGTCACTAGAAGGGCGGCACCGGCAATCCCGCACGGAACACGGAAGGTGGAAGGAAATCACAAATCCACGGTGCCCGCCCCAGGGATGCCTTCCGAGGGGCCAGCCTGCGTGGTGGCCTGCGTCACACCCATGTCTGCTCCCCTGGTGACATGGTGGCAAGGCGATGCATGGAGGCCATGCTTTAATTGAGTATAACACCTCTATTTGTGTCGATGCGTTTCCTGTTCTGGGACTAGCAGCTGTTTATATCAGAGCTGCGGAAGCTGTTTGTCCAAATCTCATTCTGCATTCTTCCTTTCAGAGTCGTTCACCAGGCAGGTGTTATGGGAGCTCCTGAAGGCTGTGAAATTCGGAGAAGTGGTTTCTTACCAGCAGTTAGCAGCCCTGGCAGGCAACCCCAAAGCCGCGCGAGCAGTGGGAGGAGCGATGAGAAGCAACCCTGTGAGTTCTCATGGCACGGGCATGCCTGCGGGTGGTGGGCGCGTGCAGGCAGCAGGGGGTCATCTGATGCCACATGTTTCCCCAGCAGGCCATGCTCCTGGGGTGGGCAGAGGGACAGCATCTGTGATGGGGATCGTTGTGCCAGATGCCTCCTGAAGAGGCAAGGAGGCTACCTGGACACCACACTCCGGGAAGCCCCTCCCCCCAGGAGCACATCCCCGCTTGAGCTTCTGGTCATTACAATGAACAGGAGAGGAGGGACCCTGGCAGAGTGGCAAGGGGGCAGAGGGGACCCCACTTGCTCACTCAGCGGGTGGAAGTGTTGGGTGCCTGTTTTATGATCCACTGCTGTAGATGCCTGGAGTGTAGCAGCAAACAAAACAGAAAAAAAGGCCTACCTGCAAGGTGCCTCCATCCAGGAGGATGGCCCAGAAAGGGTGCACATCCAACCAGCTCTCTGGGGCTGCACTCCCCCTGAGGGCCACGGCTCCCTGGGTCTCAAGAGCCACAGCCCCACACGTGAGCACGGATGGTGGACCACACACACCTCGCGTCTCACCAGGGATGGCATTCCCCGCGCCCCTAGGGCCCTTCTGTGTCCTCATCCTTCCCGTGTGTCTGCAGTCAGGTTTCACTGAGCTTGAGGCTCCCAGGCTGTGCATCCTCAGGCTGTGCTCCCCAGAGGACAAGGCCCAGCCGGGACACAGCATGGTGGGCAGCATGGCCTGTGGTACCCGGGGACATCGGGGGCGCCCTTGCTCTCCCATCTCCCAGTACCTGGGACTGGCCCCTGGGTCACAGGCCACGTAGCATGAGGAGGGAAGTTGCACATGGCCTGCCATGTGGGTGTGCCCAAGGCCACGCGTGCCTGTTGGGAGGGGTGGGCAGGAAGGGTGCCCCTGTCTGCATGGCCCACTGGGAGAACCCACACAACCTCAAGAACAGCCCTGGAACATTCACCCAGGGATGGTGCATGGTCACGCTAGCAATGCCTTCTCCTGAAAGCTCTGAGGGTTTCTAACATGACAAAGTTAATCAGGGAGCGCAAATATGGTCACTCCGTCGAGGGATGGAGATGACTAAATCAGAGTGACCCCACTTTTTGAAAAATCACTGTGGCTTTGCTGTTGGTTTTCAAAACTACTTCCACCCCTGCTCACAGGGGAGAGGCCGGCGTGTTCACACCACAGCCTGCTGCTCCTGCTGCCCGCTGCGCATCCCAGGGCAGAGCCTCCGTTTCTAGGAGGACAGTTACCTGGGCTTTTGCACAAAACTGCATTGTTTGTCCTTAAAAAGCAGCTCCGCTGGGTTTGCATTGTCATCCTGTACACCCTCATCTGGGCAAGCTTTCTGCCATATTTAAAATATCCCAAATATCCCAGGAGCGAGGTGCCGCAGGGACAGCCACCATGCCGCCTCCTGCATCTCTTCCCGTCCTCAGGGTTGGTGATGTGGCTGGTGGGCATGGTTGGCCGTTCCTTTGGCACCTGGCACACGTTAATTGCAGCGTCTTCAGCTACATTGTCATAAAACGTCTGCAATACACAGTAGGGGTCTTATTTTTAGGGTGCATGGGAGATGTTACTTAATCAAGTTTCTGAGGATGGTTTTTGACATTTCCCAATAAAGCTTAACCTACAACCCCTCTGGAAGGCCGCCGTCTTCTCCCTGGTTGTGAGTCCATTTTGAGGTGTTCAGCCTGGCGAAAGGCAGCTCAGACACTGTGGTGTTGCAGCTCCGTGTAAGGCCCATGAGAACTGGGGCTGCAAATGGGATTTGGGGGTTCTCCTCCCGCATCACTGCAGTGCCTGCTTCAGGCCGTGTCTACTCTTCCTGCCCCTCCAGGAGAGTAAGTCATCGTCTTGTCCCGGCTGAGGTGGGTTCAGCTCTCTCTGTGCATACACATGAAGATGGGAGTGGCGCCATCAGTGCTCGCTCCCTCGCGTGGGCAGCTCCCCGTTTGCTGGGAGGACAAGCTCCCCTAACTGGCGTGAAGCATGGTGACACCCTCCCCCAGAAGCCTTTCGTGAGGCTGGCAGTTTCTCATTCTGCAGTGGAGCTGCCGTAGCAATCCTGCTTGTGGCAATATTCAGAGACATTTATTGTTCTGCAAACCAGCGTGACTCTCTTCTGCTATTAATCTCTGAGTGTCTCTGTTCCAGTATGGCCTCAGTCACTGAAATGTATAAAGTAGTATCACATGGGGTGTCAAACCCTAATGTCCGAGGAGTCCACACATCGACACCCCGTCACATGGCAGAGCCAAGACTGGAGGTGAGCACAGCACCAGGCAGGACAGTTCCACGGGCACAGTGTCGCGCCCTTCCCAGCGTCCACATCGCTCCTGTGCTGAGGGCAGCCAGGCGGTGGTGGCCTCCTGTGGCCTTGCTGTGGGCATCAGTGTGTGCGGTGACCTTCACCCCGAGGAGGAGGCTGCAGCAGTACCCGCAGCTCCAGTACCCACAGATGCCTCAGAGTATGGCCCAGACACACCAGAGATACTTTCGCAAGAAACCTTCGCCTGAGTAGTTTACTATCGTTCAGGGTGACCCAGGGACTTGAGGGAGGAAGGGCCCTAGCCAGCAGCGAGCCATTGCTGTTGTCAAGTGTCCCCAGGAGTGTTTCCCTTTGCCACTGACAGCAGCGTCCCAGCCGAGGCTGTGCACATCCAGCCCAGACGGTGCATCGCTGAGGCTCGCTCACTGAAAACATCCCTTATATTCAGGCTGAATAGAGCGATTGTGCATTTAAGGGAGGAGAGTGAAAAATGGACTTGGAGTGTTAAAAAAGCATCATAAAGCTCATTGTGCATTAATTCCTTAGGTGGCTTGCAATAAACAGGAGCACATGCTGGGTCATATTACTGCATTTGCTGTCGGCATGCATCTCTCTTCCCCCACCAGAGTAAGGGATGACTTTTGCTATGTGGGGCTTTCCTCCATCCTAGGAGCTTGATTTCTCCAGTTTTCCAGGAAGGACTCATCAGGTGGTGTAAGGTGGTTGGTCAGCATTCCTGGAAGGCTGTCTGCCCAGCCCAGCGGGAGAAGATGGTCAGTTTCCCAGGATATTGAGTAGAAAACTCCCCGCGGCCCACCCCCTCTACAAAGCACTCTTCCTCTTCATCCTCACACAGAATTTGCTAAATGCAGTTCAAAGGCAATCGATGCATTACACAGAGAGTCTCCCACCTTTTTCTAAACAAATGCATTCCTGAGGAGCTGGTTTATTCACAGATTGCCACGAGCGTTAATGACCCCCCGAGTTGTGTTCTGCCAGTCACCGAGATGGCTACTGATAAAGACTTAGCATCATGTTCGAAGTGTCAGGGTTGTCAGCGAAGCTGAACCATTTGACCAGAAGAAAAAAACGCACAGGGAGCTATTGATTACAGCTTCTCGGTGTCACTTGTTCACCAGGATTTAGGTATTGATGAGGCTGCGAGTGAAAACAAGCTCTTTCCCTTGTGGGCTGCTACCCAGAAGAACAAAGGCAAAGTTGGAAGAAATATTCCGCCGGCCCCGAATCAGAGGGATTCCGTTATTGATTGAAAGGCCCCTTCATGTTATTTTTGTTGGAAACAAATCTATGGGTTTGGAAGTTTTATAGCATTTGAGAAAGGGGCTGCATAAGTGATGGATTCATGTATTGGAGGAATTAGATTTCACAGCATGAAGATTTCAAGGCAGCTGTGATATTATGAGCTCCTTGGTTATTGATAAAAATTACATTTTACGCAGCACATGCTTTAAAGGAGAGGGCAGAGAGGGTACGGATCCTTTGAAAACGGCCCGGGGGCCCCGGTACATTTCAGCAGCTTTTATTATTTTAATAGTCTGAAACCTGCCACCAAATTAACACAAACAGAAGCAGCTTTCCCTGTTTCTAATGGTAAAAAACGGTGCCTCTGTGGGAAGTCACCTCTTCCCCGTCACAACATGCTAGGGTGAGGACCGGCCATAGCTGTCGGGGTCATGGTCATTCCGTGCTGTCTGTCCTGGCCTCTGCATTGATACATAGGAAGAGGGCGAGGGAGGTATGTTTATTTTACTCATTGTTATAATTTCATAGCTCCCTGAGAGGAGAGAAGAAAAATCAAAATGTTGCAAAATCTACTGTTAGGTAGGAAAATGGAATTGGTGCCTAAATATTTATAAAACTAGATTGAATTAAATGCCTACCTCTTTATCAGTCAAAAACGTGAATTGTTTATTATCTAATAATGCCCTCATGGCAATTATTAATGGGACTGTTGTATTTGATAAAAGTCGTCCATCAGGGTAAATATTCTATCCTGGAGGTTTCCTGTGACTTATTCCGGAAGGCGGGGATTCTCTGCCGTTCCAGGACGTCCCAGTTACTCTACTGCACTCTGTTAAAATCGACGCCAAAAACGGTCACAGCTCTCCGCCACCCGCCTTTCCCATGTCATCGTCAGAAGCCTCTTCAGCTGCGTCATTGGTGCACGTTTCCATGGTGACCCAAACTCTGGTCAAATCAGGACCAACAGCGTGACGTGCGGAAGCAGAGCCCCGCCTTGCAGCCACGTCATCTGCTGGCCCCGGCTGGCACCCTACAAGGTCCGCCTCGACAGTCCACGTCAACAGTCCACGTCAAGGAGGAGCTGTGATGGAACCATGCAGGAGAGTGGTTAGAGCCCCACCTTTGCCACTTAGCAGCCTTATGAGCTTGGGTGTGAGACTCCATTCAGCTGGAGGCTGACAGGCCCAGCAGAGCCTTTTGGGGTGATAGGGGCCCCGGGATGCGGTAGAACATGCAGCAGCATCAGGCACTAGTGGGCACACCTGCTCCCAGGGGCTTTAAGCGCCCTTTCCAAGGCGGGGCTGGGGTTTCCCCCACCTCCCTCGGGGACATGTGTAGCTGGGCCCTACAGAGGGCCACACCTACCAGGTGAAGTCTGTGGCAGGTACCTGTGTGGCAGTGACATAAGCTGCCTGCTCCAAAAGCCTTGAGCTGCCCAAGAAACAGAGCTTGGAGATGCCGGGCACATGCCCCCAGCTGCTTCCTCTAAAAGTTCACCTGACCAGTCACTGTTTGCCTTTGGAGGGTGGAGTGTGAGGGAGCTGGGCATGGGTGGAAATCATCTCTCTGTTGAGCTGGGAATACATGGAGAGAAAAAGAAAAGCAGAGCTGGAGTGGTACCCAGGGGCACTAGAGTGATACCCAGGGGTAGCCTGAGCATGCCTCGTCCTTGGGATCCCACAGGAATGGCTGTTTTTCCTCATCAGGGAAGGACGCTGGGAGCAGGGCAGCCACGTGTGAAGCCTGGGGAGAGGCCCCAGGTCAGCATCCGTGTCTGGGCCGTCTGGGTGCTGGGACGAGTGGGCTGCCCTCCAGCTCAGGATGCAGGGAGGAAGGGGGACCAGGCGGTGAGTGGTCCCTAGACCCCTCTCATTCACCTTCCACATGTCGTGCCGGCCGAAAACTTTTCAGAGTGAGCTTGGTGCCCTTCCCCATTTCTCTGGAGCCTGCGCTGGTTCTGGTGGTTGTGCTTATTGGCAGTTTATGTTCTTCATGGAGCAGCCACTGTGATGCTTTGCACAATGATAAGGCAGGCCCCACACATCCACTGAGATCTCCTGGCCCCTTTGTGGCTGCCCACCCACGCCCCTGCTCCCCAGGCGCCATGAGCTACTTAGGGATGAAGGCGGTTGCCTGGGGAGGGGGGCTCTCCGGCCCATTCTTTCCGTAGAAAGCTGCACGAGACTGCCGCACGTGCTACTGGTGGGAGACTGCCCCAGGTGCTCCTGGTGGGAGACTGCCCCACGCGCTCCCGGTGGGAGACTGTCCCATGCACTCCTGGTGGGAGACTGTCCCATGCACTCCTGGTAAGCGATCTGGGAGCAGCTCTTCACATAACCTTTGTCGGGATGCTTAAGCAAATGGCCTTGGAGCCCCTGGCATCCCCTGTGGTGGGCATGCAGGCTGTGTGGCCATCCCTGGCCACCCAGGCAGAGGGAGACAACCAGAGAGATGCCTATATGTTACATTCCTGTCTTCCACCTTTCTGAGCCAACTGAGAAATGGATAGCAGACCTCAAGATTTTAGCTTTTTTAGGATAAAAGCAAGATTGAAGATGGGGGTGGGGGGCATGGCCCTGGTGGCTTCCAGTAATTCCCACAAGAATCACACACCTCATCACTGTTTCTGCTGGCTAGGCTCAAGTCTCCCCAGCCAGGGCAGGGGCTGACCATCTCAGAAGAGACCAGGGTGCCCCAACTATGGGGCCAGCGGGTCACCTGCAGGAGCCCTACAGTGCTAAGCTGAGCATACCCTTCTCTTCCTCCCTTATCGCTGGTCAGTCACTCTTCTCCCTTGTGGAAGTGAGAGCAGAGGAGGTCAGGAGCTACATGGAAACCAGAGGCAGGGGCCACAGCAGCTGCCCCACCCCCACCCAACACAGGTGGCTGTCGGAGCTTCAAGCAGTCAGTGGACCCACGGAGCTCCTCCCGTCTACACAGCTCGGGCAACTCCAAAGGATGAAGGCAGAGTTTCCCTGAGGACTGAGCTGAAGGAAACGACCACCCCTCTAGAGGGAACAGGGATTCACTCCCCCTGGCAGGACTGGCCACAAAGAAGCAGTTGGCAGGCAGGACCCGGGGCCTGTGCGCAGCCGCATGGCTGTGGTCCTCACTCTGTGTGTGGTCAGCACAGGGCATCCCGAGCTTAGGTCAGCCACAGCTCTGGACTGTGCCAGCTTTAGGCTAGGAAATAACAGGTTGATGCTGCCAGAGGCCCCAAGAGGCCGCAGTCAGGGCCCTGTCCCTGAGGGTGCAGGAGCCCCAAGGAAAACACCACCTGCAGCTTGGTCTCTGTGCCCTCACCCTTTCATGGTGGTGCCAGCCCTGGCCTCACGTGCGGGATGAGGATGGCAGCATTTTGGGCTGTGGGTGAGTTTGGTGAATATGGAGATGGCACCTTGAAAGCTGTCGCTTCCTTGGGTCCCTTGGTGGAGCCCTTTTGCTCACTGCTTCCTCTGGTTGGGTGACATGAGCTTGCTTTTTGAAGCCCCTCTGCTAGTTTAAGACAGGTCTGTCCTCAGCATAACTCTCGGATGAAGGGCTGGACAACAGCTGTCTTCCTGAGCCCGAGTGGGGAGGCTGCCCGCAGCAGCCTGTGGGATCCCAGCTGGTATCCAGGGGAGGAACTGGCCATGCCCTGCCCCCAGTGGGAATGGCCAGGGAGCTTTTCAGACCCCTACAGGCACCCCAAGACTAAGGAGGGAGACACATCCCCACTCCCCGGACAGCATGAGACAGGGTCAGCCAAGTCCTCCTGTCAAAGGCCAGAGAGTAAATATGTCAGGCTTGGCAAAGCCACAGCCAGTATGGAGAAAAAGGCATGACTGGGTTCTAGTAAAGCTTCATTTACAGAAGCAGGTGGTGGGCTGCATGGGCCCACAGTGCAGTCCGCCGGCCACGGGGCCACGAGCTGGAGAGGCCTGTGCGGGTACGGTCTTCCTGACGCTTCCTGTGATGCCTGAGTGACATCTGGAGAGGGTTGAAAGCGTCACGTACTGCCAGAACTTGGAGATGTCATTTTCAGTTTTATAAGTGAACATTGTAAATTACTCACCTGATGAAGTTAAGTTTTCTCCTCCCAAATCTTGGCACAAAGTGATTCTCTGAAGATGCCCACATCACCAGAGCACATGCATCCCTCCTCCAGCCATGCTGAGACCCCCAGGGACTCAAGAGCCTCAGGGGAGTAGGAGTTAATGCTGAGACACAGCTGGCACCCACCCATGCCAACAACCTGGCCCCAACACGGGCCCCTGCTTGGAGGGCACAGGACCTCTGTCAGTCAGAGCTTTGCCCTTGTCCCCAAAGACCTCATTGGCCAGATCCCTAAAAGACGATGGCTCTCCCCCTGTTTTCCAGGTCCCCATCCTCATCCCGTGCCACAGAGTGGTCTGCAGCAGTGGAGCCATGGGCAACTACTCCGGAGGACTGGCGGTGAAGGAATGGCTTCTGGTCCACGAAGGCCACCGGGTGGGGAAGCCAGCCTTGGGAAGGAGCTCAAGACGGGCAGGGGCCTGGCTCAGGGCAGTGGGGCCCACCTCGGGCTCCCCGCCTGCCGGGCCCAACTGAGCGATGCTTGAGCGACACACACATGTAACACTGCATCGGACGTAGGGTGTGGGGACACGGCTGTATTAAAGGAGGTGACTGTTTCCCGGGGAACGAGCATGTCTGCCCTCTCTGTTTCCATGTTTTCCAGCATCGTGAGTTCAAACGCACGCGGCCGTGCATGCATTTGCTCCTTCCCTAACACTGCCATTGCTGTTTTTCTTGTATGTTAAAACAGGCTGGTCAAGTGGGGAAGGCCTGGCCCGTGTTGGGGCCACAGCCCGGGATGGGGCAGTCTGGTGCCCACCCGCAGGCCACAGACAACTGCCACAGCCGCCATTCGAGGCCAGCTTAGGCCCATCCCAGGCCGTCCACGCTAGAAAGCCGGCCCTGCCCCAGTGCATCCCCACCATGCCGCCTTCCTGGCTGTGTCCACACTGTGATGATGTTTCCCACTCAGTTCCTCGCATCCCACACTAAGTCTCACTGAAGGAAAGGGAAGCAGACCTTGGAAGTCAATTCTTCTAGAGGTTTTGTAGCTTTGTTTTCCACCTGCCAGAAAGGCTAATGCAAGAGGCATCCACTTATGGTCTGTATTGGGTGGGTAGAAAACAACCGTATGCCAAGATTTGGCAAGACAGAGAGCGCTCTGGCCACGGGTTCAGTGGAGCTTGCACTCTCTGAGAGCTTGAGTCAAGTCTCGCCCTCTCTCCCTACGCCCTGGCCTAGTGTGCCCCGGGCAGCAGGAAGGAAGGGGCCTGGGATTCTCATCTCGGGGGCTGCCCCAAAGGGGCCTCAGGGACCATGGGCCTGTTAGGACCCCAGCACCCCAGTGTCGATCCTGGAAGTCAAAGGTTGTGACTGGTGGGCCGGCTCATGTCACTGATGGCAGCAGGGAGGGTTTCCGGCATTGGCCCTGTGCTGCCATCCGATTCCTCCCTCTCGTGTTGTGCAATTGACAAACTCCACAAGCCTGAAGGGCAACCTGTCGCTCTGGAGGTGGATGAATAAAACAGAGCATGTGATGTATACAGAAAGAACCCGCACCCACCTGGGCACCGGAGTGCCGGGTTCTCATCCAGCATTCTTTGCCACAGTGTGAACCACTGCAGGGAAGCTGGCTCAGTTCTGTACGTCACCGAGGCCTGGACGAAAGCGTGGCCTCATGAGGTGTATGATCGGGGCCTGCCTTGTATATCGTGTTGTCTTTACACCAGCAAAAGAAATCAGATTTCAGGCTCTTCTCGCTGATTTATGGTTTATCGTATCCCTTTCTGGCATCAGTCAGATTCTGGGTTTTTCCTGTGATAGTCACGTAACTCTTGCCCCACCCTCTTCACTCTTGGTGTTTTGGAAGCAGGGGAAGTCACACGGCAGGTCGTGCAGACACGTGCTGCTTTGTGGGACGGGCCCCTGGGCCTCCTTGCTCCCGGCAGTCCCGTGTGTCACCATCAGGACTCACAGGCTGTCTGGTCATTTTTGACATTGCCGAAGGTGAGTGGGAAGAGCTGGGTGCCGTCTGCCCCAGGGGTGGTGTCCGCGTCCCCCACAGAGGATGTCCCTTTCCAGTGATGGCAGGTCACCAGGCCCAGCTTTTCCCTGTGCCTGAACAGAGCAGAAGCTTCTGGCTCTCCGAAGCAGCAGCTTGGGCCCTGGTGGCCCTGGTGTGCGAGCCACGAGTGCTTTCCAACAGAGGGCACCAGAGCCGTGCGGTGTGCCTTGGAGACCCCGGCACCACTTCCCTGCTCCAGGATGGAATTGAAGGAGGGCCACCCAGTGGCACCCCAGTGGATGTCTCCCCTGCACCCTGAGACCCTGCAGGCCGCCCCCTGCAGCCACACGCCGACCAGCAGACACACATGCTGTGTGCAGCCCACCTCCACTGTTTGGGTCCCATGAATGATGGGAGCCTCCCAGTGAGATCTCCAGGCCTCTAAGCAGGCACAGGCTCAGAGGGAGGGTCCTGGGACCACATGACTGCAGACAGCAAGGGCTGAACCTCCAGACCCAGATCAGCTCCTGGCAGCAGGGGACCCGCCTGTCAAAGCCGTCCGAGGTGAGCCAGCAGCTCTGTGTGGCCTGGGAGCACGTGGGCCTGTCTGGGCCATACCCTCAGTGCAGCACAAAGCCACGTTCTGCGTCCTCTCCCAGGTTTCCACGGCCCTGTGGCACAGGCTTGATAGATGCTCCGAGGTTCCTCTGACAGCCACGGCAGCAGGGCTCCGACCGGTGGGGCCATGTACCGCTCCAAGGACAAGCTCTGCGGAGGCCGACATGAAAAGCCAGCACGTGGGTCGCCTAGAGCCACACTGGCTCCAAGCTGCAGCACGGCTCGTGAAATACAGAGGGAGAGGGCAGGCACAAAGAAATTCAAAAATATTTTCCAAATAAAAAGAAATGTCGAAACAAGAAAGCTGTGTTCTTCAGCCTTGGCCCCGGGTCCCCTCACCCTGTTGTGTCCCCAGCCCCTGATGCTTTGAAGGCTGACACCGGCCCCAGGTCCCTTCACCCTGTTGTGTTCCCAGCCACTGATGCTTTGAAGGCTGACACGGAGACCCACCGCGACGCAACAGCAACCTCGCAGCTGCTCAGACCCACCACGCCAGGCTCACCTGCTTCCAGAGAGCATGAGAGTCAGAAGTAATGTGTGTTTTTGCAGAACCACACTGGGAACAAAATAGTCGCCCTTGGCCACGCAGGAGACTGGGTTTTGTGAGGGGTTGTCCTTTCAGTCTTTCTTCCCATTGGGAACAGAAGGGTCCAGTAAAGCCCCCCGCATTCCGCGTGTCCTGTGGCCACCTCCAGTGGTGAGTCTGTGAGGCCAAAGAAGAGAAGCTATGACCGTGCAGACACGCCCATTAGGGTGTTGGCAAATGCGGAATCGGGCAGCTGAAGAGCGCTCACCTGAGGATTTGCAGACCTTCTTATGGGCACAGATTTGCACTTGCAGATGGGAAGGTTGCAGGCTAGGGCGCTGCAGAGAAAGCAGGCAAGCTCACCTTACGGGGAACTTAACTGGGGTTTGTAGTTTGTATTCACTTTTTATCCAGCAGAAGCAGCTTACTGAATACCCCTCCAGGGGCTGGATAACATGCCAGCCACTGAAACCACCTGTGAGACGAGTACACAGGTCTCTAGTGCACAGCACCCCGTGTGCCTCTCCAGAATCCCACTTGGAGGCTCCCAGCAAGTCCAGTATAGATACGTTTACACTGGAGGCATCAGTTTTGTTTCCTACATTGTAAACAGCAGTACTACCCTGGAACCTATTTCCTACACAACTGTAAGATGAGAATAAAATCCCCTACACCCAAATGGCTTGGAAACCTGAGTGGTGGTGTGACCCACCAGAGCCTGTGGGGTGCTGGACTCTGGGGAGTATTCTCGAAGCAGTGTGAGGCATCCTCCTCGCACAAATGCATTTACAGATTTGTCTGGCTGTAACCCCTGACCTGGCTACAAGGACAGAACAGCCCCGGGGACCATGTCGCCTTCCCGTCTCTTCTGCCACTTGCCCACCCTGGCTGTCCTTGCACCCGCAGCAGTGACCATGGGCAGTGGTGCCAGCTTGGACCTCACCCGTTGGAGCGGGCAGGATGTCACACTGAGCTGACGTGAGATGGTTCGTCACTGCCCATCTCCGTGCTGTTTGGGGTTCTGACGGCACAGAGGAGGATTCTGAAGTGATAGATAAATTGGCTTCATGTAGGAACAAGAGGAAAAGTGTTTTATTTTGCTAAGAAGATTTTACTGGAAGACCAATCTGGAAATGGCCTTTACTTCGGCCGCAGCTGCTGGGGCCTCGCCTGCCTGTCTGGTCTGCCTGTCTCCTTGCTGCTGTCAGGGTGGCAGGGTCCCCAGGAACAGTCCAAGACTCTGGGGTGGGGGATTTACATTTTTTGGCTTCCCTCAGACCATATGGGGTGTTTTTTTCTTTCTTTCTTGTTCATGGGCATTTGATTAAAAGTTTGTGTTTAAAGAGCTGGACGTTACATCAGTTTTACTTATCAGTTTGAAAGACATTGAGCTCTAAACATGGCTCTGCCCAAGGCCTCTGCCAAGCAGCCCCGTCTGTCTGTCTGTCTGTCTGTCTGTCTGTCTGTCTGTCTGTCTGTCTGAAGAGACAGGAAGGTGGAGAAACTGCAGGTACCGACCTGTCTCTAGGCCACTGAGGGCAGCCGTCCAGCATCCTCGGGACCCCGTGGCTCCAGCTGCTGACAGATGGGAAACGTCTGGCCTCCATCACCAGGTCACCTCGACAAGGATCTGTAATGGGGGCAGGGGCAGGGGTGGATGAGAAAGTAGGAAGTGGATGCTGGGCAGTGAGGTGCGAATTGACGGCAGAGCCCAGCCTGACAGCACCTTTGATTGATGAAAGGACATTGTTAACAAGCCTTTAAAGTTTCTCATTAATGTTTTTTTCATTGAAAAAAAAGCCACCAGAAAAAAATTCCACATGGACAGTAATTAAGATCGATCCCGTACAGTGCGTATCAATGTTGGGAGCCTTTAGGAGAAAATTACCCACCCTCCTGTTAAAGACTCCTTTCCAGGCTGCCATTTTCTGCCTGTTGAAAGTCCCTGGCAGTGTGGGGACCTGGGCAGTCAGGCACGTTCTGCAGGTGTGATGTGGTCAGAGGGTGTAGAGTGGACCCCCAGCTTTCGTTGTCATGGACTCTGATGCAGTGGGGGAGGAAGAACAGGGAAGGGTCTGCTGCTGTGGAGGGGCTGGAGTTCTCCGCTCCAAGTGGGTCCCAAGGAGTACATCTGAGCAGAGTGCACGTGGTGTGTGTGGTTCGAACCAGAGATGCTCCAGCCCTGGGGTGAAGGGGCCATCTCTTCCCCTTGTTTCTACATGGGGGCTGAGCCAGCCCCCCTTTGTACACACAGCACCACACACGTGCACACCCAGGGGTTCTTTCCAAGTCTTCCAGGTACACGTCACTGCTGGTTGGACCCTGAACACCAGTGGAATGCCTGTGTCCAGGCTGATTTGTTGACTCACATTAAGAAAACCCAGCTGGAGAAAGTGTCAGGGTCCTAACGTTAAGCAACATGTGCTTGTGCAAAAAGGAGTGCTTTTGTGTGCTGTGATTGCCACGGCTACAAGG